GGATTTTTGAGTTCTTGGTACTCAATAGACTTGGTTTAAAGACTGAAAGTTCATTGAAATGACAAAAGTAAACCTTCATGTATATTATGGATAAAAAAGCACCTAAGACGTTATGCTGAGAGCTATCAATTTGGTAGTAAACTAAAAATTATTACTTTGTCTTAATATTTGGCCCTTACGCGATATCATCGGTTTATGATTTAACATCATTATGACACACAATAACAATGCGTCATCATTCGAATGCTCCTCTAAAAACAGATTTTTACGAATCAAGGGTCTGCAAAGTACGGTTGAGACTACCATAATAGGATGGATTATCAAATAATTATAGTAATGTGCGAGCTGATTGAAGATAAACTCTGTGATTTATAGGGCAAAGGCCATCTTAGCTTCATCAGCCCAACTTAAAAAACAAGAAGGGACTTTTTCTCGTCAAGGCGCTAGCGACATCGCCAATTGTGGTACTAGGCGGGGAATGAAGTCTTGACATCGCATATGGTGTTGCAAAGTGACTTTGCGCGACAAATAACCACCGCACTGCAACCCGAAATAGAAGAAAAATGTTTCCCGCCCAGTTTTGAGTTTCGTCCAAACGAAGTGTCAAAATTGACAAAAGAAGTAAAATATAATAATTCCGAGAAAAATATTTTTCGGCCGGAAAATCCCACTAAAAACCTTTTTGTGACATTTTGTAAAATCTCAAAAAAATCAAAAGTTTTACTTTTAGTTTTTTAAAAATTTTAAAAAGCAATAGTTAAAAGATCAAGTAAAAGCACCAGAAATAGGGGGGCCCGAAGGGACCCCCTAATTTCTGGTAAAATATAATAATTCCGAGAAAAATATTTTTCGGCCGGAAAATCCCACTAAAAACCTTTTTGTGACATTTCGTTTGATTCCAACCGAAACAAAATGGGCAATGTGTCGAAAGGAGCCAGGAAACACTTCGGGTTGCAGTGCACCGCGCTTTGCTTGCCCTGCGACAAGTTTTTAGGGCGACGGCGCACTGTGCAAGCATATCAAGACTTTTTGGCCCGCCTAGACAAGGCACAGCAGTCTAAACAGTTAAAAAAAGCATCAATCTCTAACATTTGTAAGTGTGGCGCTCAGATTTCTTTGAACTTTGCGCACATGTCGACCTTAGGCCACATATCATTTTCCGCGAAAGTTTCCTGTTCTAACCACTGTTCTGCGAGACTATGCTTGACAACGAAGAAAGTTATGCGGTCATCTGGAAGCGATAGATCAGATAGATCATAAAGATGGACAATTAAAAACTCTGAACGACTTCCATTATTTTAGGATAATTTCCCATCTTTTCTAAACGGCCAGACCTTCAGACGAACATCATAACGCAAAAATACGAGATTTCCAAGCTTAAAAAGTCAGCTCTTAGTGGTCTATGATTCCATAAGAACGCGTTGCAAGACTACAAAATCCAAAAGATCTTCCTGAGTTAAATCAAAAGTTCAAGTAAAGCGCGCTGAAAGACCCTATAAGCTTGAAGGTGTTTAGCTATCCCGTAATAAATTCAGGAAAAGAATATGGAAATTGTTCGCAAAATGTGACCGGGTCGTCATGGCAAAAACGTGGACCTTTGACCTTCTTCCGGTAAAAACGATGACTTGACAAAAACATTTACAGCGAAGGGCGGTGCTCAGATTTTGATGAAACTTGGCACAAATTTAGATTTAATTTGTTATAACAATAAGACAAGTGTACTACTTCAAACACTTCCCTTTTTAGAAGGAAGTGCTTGAAAATTTCAATGAGACTTGGCGCAAATTTAGATTGTCTTTTCTAAGACGTCAGTTTGTTGGAAAATCAACCACGACAAACAGTCTATGCACTTTTGAAAAATTGTGGTAGTCGTGCCATAAAGCCCGTAGGATTTTGCGCAGCGCGTTCACTTCACTTTTTTGCAAGTGTACTCCGCGACATCGCCGAAAAAATCTGCGGACTTTATCTAGTGTGCAGTAAAAGACGAGTAATTCAAGCTGCTAAACAAATCAAAGTCATGATTTTTACTGTTACTAAATCATCATACGAGCAGCCTCAACTCTAATTAAAGCCGAAGACTTGGACCATTCAAATTTGTAGCGCTTCAAAAACGGTTTAATTTCCGTGACAATAAGGCTACAATAAGCGCACTTGGAGATACAAATGAAGCTTGATGGCTCTTGTAAGCTGACGCAATAGAAACCAACACAAATTTTTGTGGTTTAAGCAATTTTAAGGCTCTTTAAATTCATTAAACTTTAAAAAAAAACTTTTTTAACACCCACTACCTCAAAACAACGTGCTGTTCCTAAGAATCTATCTCCTTTTCACATTTCTCAACGCCCCTAAACCCGAGCCCGGCCCCGCGAGAACTGTCAATCAAACGAACCGGGAAATTGGCCGATTAATTTGAGACTTTCGCGCGCAGTAAACAATTTGTATTCAGATTGATGAGGCTTCTTGATAGAGTGGGGATCTATAAAAGTTTAGTAACTTTTGCGGAAAGACAAGGCCATTTTTCCTTTAGAAATTAAACTTTCCTTGGCCACAAAGAGTTCTATGAGACTAGTAGACCTATTAGACCGTAACAAATACAGGGTGCGCCAAAAATATTGGGACTAATATTTTAACTTGCCCTGCGGGCTGTAATGGTACAAGAGCAAAGTGGTCGTTTGTGCAAACGTGTAATGCTCCCAAGAATCTATCTTCAAAGTTTCAGACAGAGTAGTCGTATACAACACCGTGCGGATTTGATACATTCCGAGAAGATCATCTCAGCGATTTCTTGGACATGAATCTCTGTTAGCCTTACTTGCAATTTCGGAAAGTCGCCGGGCTAAAATCGGCACTGTGAGAAAACGAAAGTTCACTTTGCACTGTGCAATTTCTTGCTTTTTTGGGCTGTCGCCCTGATCTTTTTCGCACAATGCAAACGCCAAAAATCGGTCCGGCGACTTTCAGGAATAACTATTATGATAGGTATTTCTTGACCGGTTAAGACGTTCCGTCCACACAATGTGACCTAAATTTTATCCCACACTCGTCCAATTCTAGGCCCACTTTGAGGACTTTCCTTGTCCGATGTGGTCTCAGGGCGTTTATTTCTCTGATATGACGTTTCCTGTTCTTCACGGAGGCACCGTTGACATTTCGACCTTTCGGAGTCCGAAATCGGGGAAAATTGAACAAAAATTTCAATCATTTCCAACCGACAACGAGTTTCTCAAAAGTGCGCTAAAAACAGATTTCATTTTGTCGGAAAAATAATGAGCGCTCTGTCGCTGCGCCGATCGCGTCGCTGAAGTGAAACCCAATTTGATTTTGCTGCGATATAATACATTTTGCCGGCGGCAATGCGACTTTCGATTCGCTGCAAACTGCTCGTTATTTTCCAGACAGACTACTATTTCAGCCAGGCGAGGTATAAACTCGAACGAATGAGAAATAAATCTGCCTTCTCGTGCAATCTAGACCTCAAAACTTGGTATGTGTCTCCGGGCGTAGTCGTCATCTTATTCATTTTCGATCAAAAAACGTTGGACTTTGGTGTAATAATGCTTCAAAAGGTCGTCCCGACCTCAGCTTGTACTTCAAAATTTTTGGTCTCGTAGACGAAAAATATCCTCGCTTAAGCCTACATATCCCAAACAAAAACAAAGTCTTTGCACCGCTTCCGCCGGAAGTTCTAGAGTGCGACTTTCCTTTAGGCTTGTTGTAAGACCCTGCAGATAGCCTGTATGTCAAGAAAAAATAGAAGAAAATGTTTGTCTTCAATAAATCTGAGAAAGAAACGAAACACCATAGAAACAAAGAAAACAATCGAAGAATAGACGAAATGTCACATAAATTGTCAAAAATCTGTAAAAAAATATTTTCCAAATCAGTTTTTCCTGTGTTTTGCAAAAGATTATCTCTTCGGAAAACAATAAAAATTTCAAATTTTTTGAGTTTTTTTTTGCCTCATCAGACCGATATCTCAGTTCGTCGGGAAAATAATGGTGATCTGTAGCAACAAAATTCGCCTCGTCGCTGTCGCGCGCCGTCGAAAAGCGGAAAATTTCAAGGTCCACATTATTTTTCCGACAGACTGATAGTACCTTCATATCAGTCTGTCGGGAAAATAATGAGCATTTTTTCGCATCGAAAATTGCATCGCCGCCGAGAACATGAATTGTGTTGCGGCAAAATCAAGTTGCTTTTCACTTCACCGACGCGACCGTCGCAGCTACACTTTGCTCATTATTTCCCCGACAGACTGATAATATTGTATTTATCGAAGGGAAACATTGCTCTTGACGTGCCCTTCCCCAGTCCTCGCTCTGCCCTCCGTCGAAAACAAAAGTTTCTGTCGGGGGAAAAAAAACCGGGCCTTCTCTTCATTAAAACATCAGAAATGTCATCGAAAATAAACGTGCGCCGCCGAAAAACCGCCCCAGGCAATCCGAGCACTCTGCGCGCCCTAATCGACTTATGCCTCCACAAAGTTTCGGTTGACAAGCCGTGGCATCTGCGGCGTCGGATGGCCGTGAAATCAGAGAGCGCAGCCACGGCCAAAACACTCATTATGAAGAAGCACGGTGCAAAAAGAGATGGGTTGCGTAGGTGCGGAATGAAAGAGCGATTTGTAGTCTTGTCCCATTTTGAAAGATTACGTTTTGAAAGTGCCGTTGATGCCTTCAATGCAACATTATACGTCAATATGCAACATCATGCCAAAAGGATCTTACTGTATTTTTAATTTCTAGGCTTTTCCTGACAGTGGAATACTCCAAATGGAACGTTCAGATTAGCCCACGTAATGTTTTTTCAGCCGTCAAAATCACACAAAAATCTCGGCTGAATCACACTTGGCCTCATGAAGGTCATAAAAAAGTAGCAAACACTCTGATTTATCACGAAACCTCACAAAAAACATAATTCTTTGATTTCTGATCGTATTAGTAAGGGTTTATTTGCAATTTAAAGCCCCGGAAGTTATGATAATTCGGGCAAATTTTAACATGAAAATAATAATTGTGGCTGCCTTGTTGGCAGCGGTCGTTGAGGCCAAGGTTTGCCCCTCGCCAACTACCACTGAGGCTCCAATCTCAACCGAGAGTTCAAGTGTCAGTTCGGCTTCGACTTCAGCGGTCAGTTCGGCTTCAACTTCAGCGGTCAGCTCGGGGTCGACTTCAACGGCCGGCTCGTCATCGACTTCTAGTTCGACTGCGGTGTCTACAACTAGCGCTGCACCCGTTAGTAAGTGTTCAAAATTTAATGTTTTTGCCCTTTGCTGAGTGTTACCTAACTTTAATTATCCAGCATGTAATCCCAGTACCGGGCAAGCCAAACTCACCTTCTTCAACGCCATCTACAACGATGTGGCGAGCAATACTCGGCAGCTCTGTCAATGCGAAGACAGTACGGTTTCCCTAATCAGCTCTGGAAGCTCTGTTAACAACATCAAATTGAGACTTAGAGCAAACACATTTTCGGCCGTTGTGTATGTTGATTTTCGGCGCTCTGTTAAGCGATATCGAATCTATCTACATTAATGTGTATAATACCTTCAGATACCCAGAATTCTCTTGCGACGATCCGAAGGACTTCCGAGTGATCTTGAATGACGGAACAGAGTGTACGGCCTTGGATAACGACCAATTCACTTTGGCGATCATTCCGTTCTGTGCCGGAGGTAAGAACCGGGCCAAAGAGTCTGTCGGGAAAATAATGTCAATTTGTCGCAGGAAGTCTTGTCGCATCACAAGATCTTCAGCCGCGGCTACCTGTCCGTCGCAACGCGATTATGATGGGCGATTCCAAGGCACAACGAATCCACATTATTTTCTCGACAGACTGATAAGATCTACATCTAGCATTGCTCTTCAAGTACTTCTCTTATAAACAAGAGTTGAGCAATCAGCATCATACTCAGTCTTCATTTTCAGCATGCCAAAACTATGGCTATATCGTCAACAAGACCGCTGGAGTCTCCATAACCTGCGGAAGCCAAGTTTTCGATATCCCAAGGCAACAAAAAAGCAATCAACTCAAATTTGTCGACACTGCCAACTCCAATCTTGTTGGACCCATCACCGGGATCAGTTGTAAATCCAAACCGGCAGCCCCGACTCAATGCTTTACCGTGAAAGCCCCGAAATATAATGGAGGTAAAATAGATTTTTTGTTGTTTAGTATCGCTTTTTAATCTGCTATTTTCAGCCTGTGCCAAGCCGAAAAACCCATTGTACACCAATGGGATACTGTAAGTGGCAGGTCTTGAGAGCAATGTTGTTTAATTTTGCAGCACAAAAAGCTGGGAGAACACGGAGACTGACTGTGCTTGTGACTCAGCCAATAAAGCAAGTCAAAGCGATTACGCCAGCGGAAAATCAGCAATTGCAAGTGACAACCGAGACAGCGGATATGCGTACATGTAAGTAGCAATATTAGAATTTTCATAAAGTGTATGGAACAAAGAAAAAATGTCAACTGCACAGTGCGTTTGATTTTTGAAGCAAAATCGCTGCGACATAAGCTTGATTTCCATTGCACCGTCGCGAAGTTTGAGACAGTTGGAGCATTCAAAAATGTTTTGAAAAGGATCGCGTCGCGCGAAGAAAGCAAACTGCCCAGTGCAAATGTCCATGCACTTTATGAAAAGACTAAATATACTATGCTTTTTTAAAGATACGTGGAATTCTTGTTGCGGCGTCTAAATGCGCTGCGACGCAGCTAAAAAGACTTGCGTAGCGCGATTTTTGAATTGCACAGTGCAAAAGTGAAATTCACGGTGCAAAAAGCCCAAAATTTAGAAGTAATGTAAGGCGAAAAAGTCTACGCACTTTATGTAAATACTAATATCAGTAAGCCCAAAACCGGAATTTTCCATACTTGCAGCAATTTATTTTTGTCCACAGAAAGGCATAATGGTCGTAGTCGTATTTTACAATTCTTTCAGAGCGGCTAGAAGTGCTTGCACCAGCACCCAGTCAGTCTGTCTCTGCAACACAAAAGATAAAGTGTGTTGGGAGGCTGGAAAGAATGACGAAGCCCCGGAGTTGATCTGGCTTTGGCCATACTGCAAAGGAAGTGGTGAGTCATCAAAAAAAATCATTCATTTTGAACAAAAAAAATAAAATTTTTCCAAAGTAAGTTTTTAATTAAGACTGCGCCTACAACGTGGGTCTGAGTGCCACCAACAAGGAAGCCTTTATTCAAAAGTCTGGAGCGTCCGACAAATTCACCGTCAAGCAGTCTGATGCCTTATACAAGAAGTCCGTCCTTGGCGAAGGCCTTCCAAATGGATACCCATTGATTGACTCGGTCGCTTGTGATTGTAAGACAGCGCTGGCGGTCAACACATGCACTGCGATTCAAAAATAAGGACAATAGAATATTCTATTTTGACTTTTACAAAATTTTCCTCCCATTATGTGATGTGTTTTTTAGTTTTGTCAATCAGTCAATAAATCATGGATTTTACTATGAACCAAACAGATGATGCAAAAATGTGCTCAGCGCATTGTTTTATCGTCGTGTCCAGTAATCAAAGAGAACACAATATCATCATAGCACAATGCGTCGAATCCGCTCCAAATTGAAATCCTTTACCACTCCGGCAAATGAGAGCACTATAACTCTTTGGCAGTTTTAAATGTAAACAAAATGTTTCGTTTTCTTGGCCAATTTGACCAAATATTTGTATGTGTAGATAGGTATATTTAATGTATTATAGAACAAATATCATCATCGTGGATGCAAAAATAATTTGCTTTTTATTTTCACAAAAAAAGTAAAAATGCTTGTGTTCATCATATTTAAATGTCAAAGAGTGGCGTAGCTCATCATTGCACGAAATGAGATTTGAAACCTCCCCGGTCCGTCCCTGGTCGGCACGTGCAACCCCTGCATTGAGCAGGAATCTGTGAAAAGATGTCCTTTTTCTGCTGGAATTCAAAAAAATTTTTCGCATGAAAATTTTTTTTTGATACAAAAACAAACCTTTAACCGGTAGATAGTGTGGACTTGTGGCAAAATATCTCGCTTTGTCGCAGCCGGAGACCGAATCTCCAGATTGCCGTTGCAAAGCGATTATGGGCGCTTTCAAGGCGCGAAGAATCTACATGATTTTTCCGACAGAGTGATACTTCAATTGTTATATTTTAAAACAGTATGTAGTCATTCGCAAAAATGAAACAAGCACTTGTGTTCTTTGTTTTATGTACTCCTGATCACGATTCAAGTGTCACATTTTTTTAAATGTTGCCTGACTAACTCTTCGCAAACTAGAAAGTGTATAAAAAAGAAACGTTCAAACTATTTCTCGTATATGTTAATCATGAGATTGCTGGTGATTTTTCTCCTCTTTGCGGCGGTCTATGGCTATAAAATTGGATGTCCCTCTAAGTCAACGGCCTCCGAAGGAACTACATCAACTGATCCTTCAACGGCGGAGTCTTCAAGTCATCCGTCAACGGCATCTCCAGCTTCAGCCGACGGTTCGAGATCGACTGCTGCGGCTCCAGTTACAGCCGATGCTTCGAGCTCAACTGCTGCGGCTTCAGTTACTTCCGAAGTTTCGAGCTCAACTGTGGCGGCTTCAGTAACAACAGATGCTTCTTCCGTATCTCCGACAGCAGGCTCCACGTCGAGTCCAGTGCCTTCGACCACACAAAGTGTCACAGCATCTTCCGCAGGTGCGGGTTTTTAAGAAAGACTTCAGTTTTTTGAAGCAAAAGTCCTAATACTGTTTTATTATGTCCCATGCTATCTTACTTTCCTCAAAAGTGTATGTACATTTTGAACGTCAATCAATAAACATTTCTTCTGGTGTTTTCCCAACACATTTCTTTAACCCCGCATTTGACTGTCCGATTTTTTTCTCTCGGTGAGCGGTCGGTTTTTCCTGGTCACCTATGGCGTTGCAAACAAAGTCCGGTGACCGGTATACACGCTTCGCTATGGGTTTTTACACTTCGTCTTGATTTCACAGAGAAGACAGAGAAAAGACGCGCAAAACGTACTCTCTCGCCTCAAAAACTCACCATTTCTTCCCCGAAAAAAGTCTTTTCGCTTCTTATTTTGGAGAATTGCCAATCAATCCGCCGGACCGTTTAGCTTATCTCATTGTCATTTTGACGCGCGCCGCTTTACAAACGACCACTTGGACGGCCCAGACTGAGACGGACGTATGATTTTCGAAAACACTACATCCTGCGATGGAAGGACCTCATCCTGGCCAGACAATGGAACCCTGACCTATATTATATTCCATAGTATTTCACACGTGATTAGTGTAGGTAAATTGAAATATTGTTTGACTGGAAGCTCTTGAATTATGCTCCTTGTTTTATAATTTTATTACACTTCTTTTTACACAAGTCCAAAATACACAGCTAAAATAAAATTTACATGCTCTATCCGCCTTCTTGATTGCTCTAGCCCTCAACCTTGCACTTCTGCAGTTGTAGTTTTCCATTGGACCGGCTTCTTATCCTCACAATCTCACCTCCGCCCACCTTGTAGCGGCACACCGACCATTCCGCCCAGGGCCCTTCGTTGGCGACTGGCAATTGCGGCGGTGGCGCAATGACTGCCGGAGGCGGTGGAGGGCCAACGACGGAAGAGACAAGAACATTTGGCTTGTAGACGGCTCTGTTGAATCCGTTGCAGCCATTTTCCACCACAACTGTGCCGGCGTCGGCGGGATAAAGGACCATGGGGTTGGCGGTGACGTCATCGGAAGTCAGAAGACATCGGGAAGCCGTGGAGACGAGGGTAGCCGACTAAATAACGATTTGATTATGTATTGACTAAATCTTTATCACAAACAACGTACTATAAAATAGACTGTCTTACCCTGCAGTGAGGCGTATTCAAACAAGCTTGAAGACATTGTGCGATCGAATAGGCTACAACCTGCAACACGATGTGGCCGCGAACTTGTTTTTGAGCATGAAGAATGAAGATGTCATCGTCCAAACATTTGCCATGATGAGCTGAAAAAATGCTAAAAATGAGGGATTCAGAGGGTAAAATCAATGAACTGGATCGACGAGGACGCCATCACTACCTTAGCAACGAATTGTGTAACATTTCTATAAAAGCTTACAATTACCGAAATTACTTGCATAAAAGACAATGACAGAGCAATACGTATTTTACCTGGCAGACAGAACTTCTCCGAGTAGATGACATGGCTATTCTCTAGCAATGCGCCTGGCCCGTGAGGCTCAGCAAGAACAGAGTAGAGCTCACATCTTTTGGTCTCATGATGATAATTAATCGAGGCACATTGCAACGACTCTCCGCTTGGGCCCTGGAAAGATATTTCGAGTTACAAGAAAAAGGTCGCACTCGGACCCTTCCCCTTCTAGAACACTCCCACTTACCCTGTTCGTACTGCACAACTGCCCACACATCGGTTGTCCCACACCTTCAAAGACATGAACCGTTCCCGGCTGTGGTGCCGAGGGAAGGACCATTTCATTGCCCGCCACGACATAATATCCCAACGACGTGGGGCAAACAATCTGCTTGGGTCTTGGGGTGGCTGGATGTTGAGTTACATGTATCTCCTGATCATGGGCTTTATGATTAGACTCTGGGACAGCCGTGGAGCTGAGAATCTTGTCCATGCCCAAGAATTGATTTAGCTGCCCGGCCAAGATGTTTACAATCGCTTCGCGACCAGCGCTCCCCGGTGGCGGCGGGGTTAAGGGCTCGGGGACTCCTTTGACTCTCTTCACGTTCACTTGGCCATCAGAATCCGAGTCCAAATCTTCCTCTTCATGAGATCTTTGATTGTCATTGGATTCGGAGAGCTCTGGACCTCTCGTCGTTCGAGCATTGTCGTCGCGGGTAGCCTCTTCTTCCGTGATAATGTCATCGTCGGTTTGGAAGTCCGCATTAGGAACGGCGACTATTTTTGAGGGTCTCGAGAGGATTTTTGGAGAATCGGAGAGGGAATCAGAAGATAGTTCGATGTCACGCTGACGAGCGGCAGATTCTGTCCAGTCTGAAGGAGAGGTTGTTAGTTTAGACATAAATTTTCTTCAAAAAAATTGGCATAGGGTGCAGTAAGCCTATAGAACAAGAAATCGCAAAAAAATAAAAAATAAATGTTACAGAAGGTTTTATCGTATGGAAGTTCATTTACATGTAAAATTAACCCTTGAGACGTCTCAAAACGAACACAGATTCTATCCTTCATTTTAAAAATGAAAAAAATTCGAAATCAAAGCGTTAGCTTACTTTCCAGATCACTGGTCGTTTCTTCCGTCGGCTTCTCAGTGGTTGTGCTTGTCGTACTACTAGTTGTTGATATCACAGGGTTTACTCGATTGGCAAATGGATCTCCCGGGTTCTCCAAGACTTCCTGCACTCTCTCTCCGTTCAATTCCCTATGAATCACCACACTTCCATCAGGCGGACTTTTGGAGACTTTTTTTGTCGCTGAGTCAAGCGAATCCTCGGGCCCTCGCTTCGTGAGGGCGCTGTCTCGGAAGAAACGCAACATTGGGCCTGAAAAACGATTTGATAAAGCGGAAAAATCAATTTTTTGTTGTTTTTTGTATGGTTACGCTACAACAGTGGCCAAGAAAAACAAAAAACAAAAAAAATATAGAAAATCTGAAATGAATTTTTGAAAACCCCACACAGCTCCATATCTCACTGAGATTGGAGAAATTTGGACCTTTTAAATAGTATTTCGTACCCAGCGCAACAAACTCCCCTGCAACAAAATCAGTCTATAACGAACATCGTCAAAAATCTCTGGAGTTAACTTTAAGCTGGAATGAACCTGCACATCAGCGTCTCGGGAAAATAATGAGCACTCTGTCGCATCGAAAATTGTATTGCGGCAAAATCTAATTGTTTTGCACCTCAGCGACGCGGCCAGCGCAGCGGCATTGTGCTCTTTATTTTCCTGACAGACTTATACATCAAAATCCTTATATACTATAACGAATAAGTTTTTTGGTCTCTTTAGATGTCTTGGAAAGAGTTTTCAACTCGCTTTGTCCAAATACTCGCCTAGAAATGTGGAAATTCCCCTCCTTCACCCTAAAATATTCGTTCTACCGACCTCCACATTCCTGCGTTGTAGCTGTCCTCACATACAGATCAAACCCAGCTGCTGGATGAGTAATCGCCGGCACCTTATTCCCGCTATGATCATACAGTCGGCAACTGTGCTGGAAGTGATCGTACACGACTGCTCTGCAAAGCCCGATCTAAAAACATCTAAATTTATTCAATTTTTACTTTCATTTACCTTAACCGCATTATTGCTGCTCAAAATACATTGATCGAGGCATTGATGAGGGGAGACGTAGAAAATCTCAACAATCGGCTGGGAATTGTCAATTGCTCTGCGTTCGGTTCGTTGGAAACATCGAACATCTGGGAAAAAGCTCGGTAAATTAAGTAAAAGGGGACATACTTACATTGTGATGCACTTTGGACGAGTGTAGCCGTCGTTAAAATGATCAACGACAACCTGGATATCACACCCATATCTGGAAAAGAAAAACCTATGTAAGGTTATTTCGAAATTGTCAGAGAGAGAAGGCATAAAATGAAAGTGTAATTAAGCTTCTTTCCGATGATAAAAACGGGATTTTAAAACGAAATATTTGTTAAAGTCATCAATGGCTACCAGACTAGGTACGTCAAGATTTGCACTGTGCCGCCGGAATATCGGGAAACATGCACGGTGCGGTGCAAAAAAGGCCGCAAAAAGTCTGCGCACTTTTGAGAAAGTGTAATAGTCGCGGCAAAGAGATCCTTTTGGCCTGTCGCTCGCACCCTGACCTTTTCCGCACCATGCAAATGCCAGAATCGGTCCGCTAACTTTCCGGAAGGGCTATTGGTCTATCGGGAAAATAACGGCGGATCGTCGCGCCTCCGAATCGCTCATCATCGCTTTGCGACGGCTGCCAAAGCTGGAGAATTCGTGCATGATGGGACGCTTTTTCGACGAAGCGAAACATTTTGCTGCGGCGATCGGCCGTTATTTTCCCGACAGACCGATAGTAAACCACAAACTCGACCTCTGGGGCGACAACCCAACTTGTCGCCCACCCCTCAATCTTCTTGGAACAGTGGAAAGAATAATATAACTTTGTCGCGTCCGAAAAAACCTCAAGCAAAGAAAACAATTAGCGCGATAAATGAAAGTAAGACCGTTTTTTCCCCTCTTTGATAGTGAATCTAAAAAAGGGGATCAGCTGGGAGTCGACTTTCGCCCAGGTGGAATATAATTCGCAGGGAAAATGACCGTGAATTACGCCTCGAGCATCTTTTTCTTTTCAATGACGGAATGGATATATAAAATATGATGTATTATAGGGGCTTTGAGGATGTTCTAGAAATGTTGGAAGGGTTGGAAAAGCAGCTTTCAAAGAGGAGCATTAAGAATAGTTAATCAGCAGTGTAGAGGAAGCCTTTGTAAGGCTATTGTAAGAGTTTATGGCTCATTAACTCACTGTAAATGAGGTGAAAAAGGGAAACGCGCAGGCACATATTGAAAAAAAAGTGCATAATTGTATTAATGATTCTTTAACGATAATGTCTCAAAATTTCTCCAGTGTTGCAAAAAATCTGCTAGGACCACAAATCAGCAGCTAAAATCTTTTTTCGCTTCAAGTGCGACGCTCATATTTTCTCTGAGCTTTGCACACATGCTTGGCATACGCCACCCATAGGTAGAAAAATTCTTACGAAAACTTTCAGGTAAAAATTTTGGAACGCTGAGAGCGGAAGACTTTCTGGCAGAATTTCCGCCAATTTCGAGTAGAAAAAAATCATTTTTTTTGGGAAGAACGGGTTTGGCAATTTTCGTGCCAAATTTTGAAAGAAGGTGATTCTGACCAAATTTTTTTGCATGTCATAGAAAACTTTGACCTACCAAAGGAAGTACCGCCAACTTTTGCGGCCGAGAAACCGGGCGAAATCCGCAGAGCGATCAGAGAGGAAAAAGTACTTGGCTATATCTTCTCCAGTTTGTCATGGAAAAACAACTATCAAACTTCTCAGGCCAAAAACCGCCAAAAAGTGTCACATTTTTTCAATACTTTCGACCAAAACATCGCGAAAAAGCAAGCCAGAAGCTTCGCGTAGTTAAAAAAAAATAATCTAAAATTTGCCAAGTTTTTTAACCTGAGCGCCGCACTTTAGAGGCTTCCCCAGTTAATAAATAATTAATATTCTAACCCCCTTCGAACACACGCAGTTTCAGCTCACCTTATCAAAAAAACTTTCCAAAATCTTTTGGATTCATCAACCCCACATCTCTCCGCATCCACCTTGAAACTGGTTTAAGGATGAAAACGAAAAGTGAAAGAATTACGCGACCGACTACGTAATTCCATTCGTCTCATTCCGAACTCCATTCATGGTCATCTCAGCGCGCGTCGAGAACGGCAGGTTTTTTAATCAAGAAGCAAGCTGCAACGGGATGGGAATAAGACGTCAGTTAATCGGGGAGTTCGAAAGAGTCCGGAGGGAAACCCGTGTGAATTGAGGGATAATTCAAAAGATGAATGCGGATTTTTTGTGATCTCGGAAAGGAACAGTTTGTAGTTTGTAAGATTCAATTCGACTTTCATTTTTCTATCCAAGCTTAAAAAAACAATGTACCGAAGACAGAAGCACCGCATTTTTTTCATGTGGATAAAAGGGCAAAAATCAAAAATCAATCCAAGAAATCCAGCCCAAAAACACGATTACATGATATAAACTCTGCCAAATTGCAGAGCACAATGTTTTTTTAAAGAGTGCGTAGAGTTTTTTTCGCAAGCATGCATTTGGCATTATTGCGCAGCGGCAAAAACCCGCCCGGCGCAATGTTTTACACAGTGCAAAAGAAAAATGCCCTGTGCGCTGCAAAAAACAAAAATGAAATTTTTTGCTACGACAAATCCACATTACTTTCCCGGCAGACTGACACTTTGAAACATTGAGGAATAAGCGCTCGGAGTAAGTACTTTCGCTCCAAGTGAGCCAAATTTTAATCATCTCCGCCGACTGACAGCCTACATATAAAGGCAGATTTTTTTTCCCAAATCGCGATTTTCGGTGCAAAAAAAGCCGACGCCCAAATCGGAAAATTGGCGTCGACTTATTTTTTTCTCGGCACCGAATTCTGAAATTCGGTAAATTTTTTTAAGTTTTTCGAAATCAGTGCACAAAGTCTTAAGTCTGCACCGAAGACTTCAGTGCTTAAGTCAGCACCGCATTTCGGAATTCGGTGCTGAAAAAATTAAGTCGACGCCAATGTTTCGATTTAGGCGTCGACTTTTTTGTGCACCGAAAATCGCGATTTGGGAAAAAAAAATTCCGAGATCTTATATGACCACCTTTATATCGACGATTATTATCCTTCTTGCTCATTTCTTCAGACCCACAGAATAACAAGATTATGGCATTTTATTTCAACTGCATGACTAACAATTCTGAGATCCATTTTCTAACAACAACAATGAAATTCCTCGCAAAATGACTCCATTTTCCTGGCTAACAAAAATGCCGTAGCCTCCTCAACCGCACCGGTCTGGCAATCAATTTGTTGGGCTTCAAATTCTGCGTGAACTCCTTTTTCGGCCGTTTTAGCCTTTGTTTGAAAGAGCTGAAAAGCAAAGTTGCCAATAAAAATCATTGACTTACCAAACCTCTTGTTTGCATCCACCCTCAGGGCATTCCTCAAAACTGCAGCGGAGTTCCATTTTTTGAGGGGAGAAATCGTCATAGGCCAGGGAAAACAGCTGCATGGTGAACTGTTTTTGGTGAGCTTCTATGGTTTTGATGTTTTTCTGATAGAGTAGAGGGTAGAATTTGGGGACAGGGCAGCTGAAAATTCACTTTTTAAAACTTTAAAATATGGATTGGTCGCAGCAAAATGTCTCGTTCGTGACAGTCGCAACTCTACATACAGTTTTCGGTAGCACAGCAATCATGGACGATACTAAGGTACGACAAGTCCGCATTATTTTTCCGGCAAACTAACAATTTTTTGCTTTATTTTTTATCATTTTTTTGCAAATTTCTAAAACTTACCCCTCAACGATAATATCCTGCCATCTGTTGAGTTTTGGTATCCCCATTCGGCATAACTTGATCCGAAAGTCTTCCTGCTTGTCGATTCTTGTAAATGTGAATTCGACCGAATTGGCGAGAGTTCCGGGCGCCCTTCTGATGTCGCCAATTTCCAGAGTAATCGAATAATGGGAATTGAACTGGACAATGTCGGTTTGTTTCTGCAAATGTTTTCAAATTGATGTAAAGTTTTAGGCAAAAAAGGGAAGATTGCGGAAATCTTTTTTTTAAACTGTTTTTTAAAATTTCAATTTTTTTGACGCTATTTTTTTGCACAGTGCAAAAAATCCATTTTTTTTTTATTTTTAGTTTTATTTTTTATTTTTTTTACTTTTATTTTGACGAGTAAGGTCTCCCAAATATTACATATTTCTGCAGAGGCAGCCCAGATTTCAATGTTTTGCGGCCCATAAGAGTACGCCAAATGCGGAGAGCGATCAGAGAAAAAAAAGTTGTTTAGCCATATCTGCCAATTGTGCCTGCGGAAAAAAAAGGTTTTTTTTGTGGAAACATTATGCTATCTACGGGAAAATCTGACCTTTTCTATAAGTTGACTCGCAAAAAAATTCTACCAATTGGTCTAAAAAATCCCGCTTTTTCAAAAAAGGTTTGCACTTTCAACACTTTGCACTAAATTTTTTACTGCATATTTTTATGCACCCCAAACCAACTTTTTTACCCACCAATAACGTCACTCACTTTAATCGGAAACAACTTTTCAACCCGGCCATTAAACTTCCTCGCGGCACTGTGCCTTCGGTAATCACAGCATCCCTGGAAAGCGGAGTCGGTCCAGGCAATTAAATTCTTCACGTGAAAATTATTAGTTATGACGAAGACGTTGAAGGCCAACTGGTTGAACTCGAGTTGGCATTGAGATAGCGACGGATGAGGCTTCATGGAGCATACAGGGATTTGAATTGAAGAGTAGTTGCCTTTGCGAACTTTGATCGTGTTTAGCCGCTGAAAAGAGGTCGTGGCTTCGATTTCAAGTACAAGTAAACGTTTTGTTTCAATAAACCAAATTGAAAAAAATGTATTTTCAGACTGTCGGGAAAATAATGTGGATTTGTCGCAGCAAAATGTCTCTCCTTGTCGCAGTGGCGTACTAAATTTCCAGCCGGGGCTAGCCGCGGCAAAACGATGATAGGCGCTTCCAAAGTCGGGAACTCTGCCGGAAAAGTCCACATTTTTTCCCGACAAACTGTTGGCCAAAAGGTCATGACACGTTTACGCATCGTGCAGTGGGCATTGCGAGTTGGCCTTGCGCGACAAAAAACAATGGGCCGAGACGAAAAACGGCCTGTTCAGTTCATGAAAGTCTATAAATGTCGGGAAAATAAAGAGCCGTAAAAAACGTGTACGTTTTGAAAAAGAGCTTTCTCAGTCTGTCGGGAAAATTATGTGGATTTCTCGCATCGAAAATCGCATCGCCGCCGAGAAAATGAATTGTGTGGTGTCAAAATCAAATTGTTTTTCAATTCAGCGCCGAGATATTACGCTTTTTCAAAAGTGCGTAAACTTTTTGTCGCGGGCCGCACCGTGCACAAAACCCCTTTTTGCGGGGTGCATTTGACCTTTTGCACCGTGCAAATGCAATATCGCAGCGACTCAAGCTTTTCTCAACTGAGGCGGCGCGATTTTTTTTGCGAAAACAAATTGCACAGTGCAAAATTTTTCGAAAAGGATTTCGTCGCTCAACATGCACTGTGCGGTGCGAAAAAAGACAGAAAAAAATCTACGCACTTTTGAAAAAGCGCAATAGGTGCCGCGACATTGTGCACCCACTCGTGGCTAGCCGTCTCAAGGAAATTTTTATCCATTTTAAAAAAATCAAAGAGAAGAAAAGCATTCCGTATTTTACCTGGCAGACAGAACTTTATAGAGAGTGCTATTATTTTCCCGACAATTTGTTATTTTGCAATTATGGAGCACAGAGCATTTGTTTTTTTTTTTTGACGGTACGCGGGCTATTTTTAAGCATTTTGCACATTGCAATTGTCTGTCACGAACGAGGCATTCGCTGCGACACCTTTGAAAAAAGGCAGGCGTACGGAGACCTTTCTATTAAGGTCGGAATCTGTACTATGCGCTACGAAAATTTGGAGCCGCTATGTGATCGCAGCGCCAAGAACGGAACCGATTTCCTAAAAAAAAAGAGCTGCGGCGTTCTGCCAAAAATTTTAAGTCACGTTTGGAGCTCTGTACCGACGCAATGAGCAGCTGCTTTAAAGCTGACTGAACATGATGTTCACAATGCTCTATGTTACTGGTATTGATTATTATTTTTGCGGAATTTGGTTTTTTGACATAAATTTTGCTACAAATACAAGTTTTCGTTTTCCTGGCCACCCTGTAATTTCACAATGCGAAAGGTACGCGACAAAAATCAAAGCACTTTCTGGGAAAGCGTAGCCAACTCACGATTTCGCTGTCCACTGGAGTGGCGTATATTTGGCCTGTAAATGGGATAACATCTTCGATTATGACTGTTACAACTCCCGGGTTGCAACGCAGTCGAACTTGGCTCTCCTCGATTTGCACGGGCGGGTCATTTCTTTCCGTTGTATTGTAGACAACTTCGCCGAGGATTGTAACAATCGGCTCGGGATTTACTGCAAAAAAAATTTTTTGTAAAATATTATACGATAAATAAAATGTCGAGAGCTCTGTTATGTTCTCTGCAATCAAACGTACCCGCCATTGCGACTAACATACGGACAACCATGACAATTTGGACATAGTTGCGCATATCCTACCAAAATTGCATGGGAAATTTACATCTCCTCTCCGCCCACGTTCAGTTGGCTGTTGAAGACGTCAACTAAACAGTCGAATTTAACGACCGGAAGGCAGTTAAAAAAAATGTTTCGCGATGAGCGAAAAAAGGGATTTGTCTCTTGTCAAACACGACAAGCACCGTAAATCAGAGCGAACGCGCAAACAACAGCGAAGATTAGCAGGTTCAAAATCAATCGCTTGCAAAAAAATATGGAAAAAATCACGTAGTAAAGAAATATAAGTTTCATCAGTCTGTCGGGAAAAAATGAGCGAAATGTCGCTGCGACGATATGAAGTGAAAATCATTTGATTTTGCCGCGATACAATTCATTTTCTCGACGGAAGTGCGATTGTCGATACGACAGAATGCTCGTTATTTTCCCGGCAGCCTGATAAATAAATATAGGCATCACTTTTGATGAAGAAGTACAGAACAACTTTTCAATGTATAAAATTCCCTCGTCCTTAATTTCCCCAAAGCTTCAATTCTTTAAGTGCCAATCTTCTCAACTTTTTACCATAATTTTACTTCCTTTTAGCGTCATTTAAAGGGGAAGTGCTTCAATTACGACGCTCAGATGTTGATGAACTTTCAGGAATTGTTATGTGGCCTAGGCTAGACATGGCTCGTCGGCCGGCCCGACCCGTTTCAAATTTTCCGTCGGCCCGGCCCGGCACGTTAAGAAAAAATAAAAGAAAAACGCGCGCCCAATGAAAAAGCCTAGAATTTTTTTTGGCATTCTGCCCGGTGCAAATCCGTTTTTGTCCAAATGGTTTGCAATATTTTGACATAAAGATTAATAGTAAATCACAAGATATTGATACCAATAGAAATCTCGAGAGCTGCTTAAGCTAATAGAACCAAAATATACCCATAATCATAGTATTTTGACAGTCTTCCAAGGCGAAGAAAACAACGTCTAAATAAAATTTTGTATCGACGATACCGAGTCAGAGAGAACTGGAAGGGGGTATAGGCTCCACGTCAAAAAAATCCTTAAACTATTCTTCGAGTATCTACATCGGTCTCGTCCCGCTTGATGGGACAGTTTTTTTGATATTCGGCCTTGAAATTTGCACTATTTTTAGCCTAGCTCGAACCGTGTTCAAAAAATGCGTCACGATGACACCCATTCAGAATGTGCCAGTGGTATAAAAAACAGTTGTATACGACTAGTAGCACTCCCTAGAGCTCCCATAAAAAAATTAGGTTAAACATTGTTGTTATGTGCAATTTGGATGACAGATTTTATGATTTTTTTTTCGCTGTGAGAACCTTTGCAATGCCCGAAATTTCTTGACGTGCCCGGCCCGGCCCGTTCTAAATTTGCTTCAGCCCGGCCGGGGCCGGCCCGGGCCGGCCCATTGAAACGAAAGTCTCCTCAAGTGTAACTCCTTATGACCAAATTTTTCCTCTATCATCATGTAAATGGATAAATATGTGTTTCCATAGCTATCTAAAAACAAAAATGCCTTTAAAAAAACGAATTGTTCTTGTCATTTCGTTTATTTTCATTATCAAACTCAAAGTTCGCTTTGAGATTCTGGATTTTAACTATTCCGGGCCGTTCCGGGCTGAAACGCCAGCCCGGCCAACGTGCCGGAAATGGCCCGGCCGGCCCGGCCGACCTGAAATCCGGCCGACGGGCCGGAATTTCGGCCCGGCCCGCGGCCAGGCCCGGGAGCCATGTCTAGTCTAGGCTGGGTGGAATTTAAAAAAAAAAACGTCATGAGAGTCCATTGCAATGGAAGCCAAGAGATTCAACAATCCTTCATGACTGTGAGTGAGAGGTCAGAAAGAAAAACACTTTTGCCATAGCTTTTACTTTACGCAACATTTTAACATATATTGCACGGTGCAAAAAACCACTGCGCTTTTTAAAACGTGCGCAGATTTTTTGTCGCGACGCCCAGTCCATTTTTGTCATTTTTTCGTACAGTGCGGGCTTTTCGAGCATTTTGCACTGTGCATTTTCACCGAACGCGAGGAATGTTTTCAGAAACACTATATTGCAGAGACTCAATTGAAAGGGGCTTTTGTCGCGTGATTTTACGATTGCACAGTGCAAAATGTATTTTTTGAATGGTTCGCCCCGCGACAAAAAATGTGCGCACTTTGGAAAAATCGTAGTACTGTAGTTATATGATGACTATTAGGCCACAAAACAATTGCAACGGAAGTTCGTATCAAATAAAATTGCCATCTCCAAGCCTGCAGTTATGTACAACGTGCAACTCGGGGTAAATACCACATTCGTAGGCGGAAATTACCCCCGTCTGGGCCAAATGTCCCGATTACAGTAAAACATTTCAAAATGTAAAGTTCAAATTTTTAAGTAATTACTCGGAAAATACGACCTAACAAAGTGAAAACCAAAGAATTACATATGTTTCCCGGAGGAATTCGCACTTTTATGCTCGATTTCCGCACGTCAGCCAGATGAATTAACCCGAGTTGACACTTCTCTTCAAGTCATTAAGATTTTCGGACTTTTACGAACATAAAAAATCAAAAGGAAGTAAATGCAACAATCGAGTCATGTTTGGGTGGAAACTCAACGAACGCAAGAGCTGAGATGTAGTTTAATCTTGGAGTTCAACGAAAATTTGCGGAGATTTTGATGAGTTAAAAATTATGTTTGTTGCAGAAGAAAAGAAGCGACAGTTTTCATTATTTTCCCGACAGACTGATGCAGTTTTTCCTGACTTCATAGACTTTTTTTGGTCGTGGGGCCGTACTGTTTAAAAAGCCCAGTCTTGCACTGTGCAATTGAAATATCGCCCGACAAAAACCGATTTCAACAGAGTCGCTAAGACATTTCTGAAGAGACTTCGCGCATTGAATAAAAAAGCACATTGCAAAGTGTTAGAAAAAATCGTGTCGTGCGGAACATTTTTTCCTCCCGTATGTCATATAAGTACATATTTTTAAAGGTGCATGGACGTTTGTTTCCTTTCGCACAGTGCATCTTGAATCTTTTGTCGCACTGTGGATTTTTGCATTCGCGCACCGTGCAAACCTGAAAAATCAGGTTTGCACGGCGAAAAATGTGCAGGCACTTTGTGAACACGCTGATAGGAAAAATTATCGGTCTGTCGGGAAAATCACGGCGGATCGTCGCGCCTCGGAATCGCCCATCATCGCTTTGCAACTGCAAGCCGCGGTTGGGAATTTGATGCGCGATAGCGGCAAGGCGCGAAATTTTCTGCGACGACCCGCCGTTATTTTCCCGACAGACGATTTTCGCGACATGCACTGTGCAAAATTTTTTTTACTTTGCACTGTGCAACGGGCTTTTTTCGGCTGTCGCTCGCACCTAGACATGGCTCCCGGGCCGGGCCGCGGGCCGGGCCAACGTTTCGGCCCGGCCCGAAATAGTTAAAATCCAGAATCTCGAAGCGAAAATTGGGTTCCATAATGAAAATAAACGAAATGTCAAGACACAATTGGTTTTTTTAAAGGTATTTTTGTTTTTAGATAGCTATGGAACACAGTATTTATCCATTTACATGATGATAGAAAAAAAATTTGGTCATAAGGAGTTAGCCTTGGGGAGACTTTCGTTTCAATGGGCCGGCCCGGGCCGGCCCAGGCCGGGCCGAAGCAAATTTAGAACCGGCCGGGCCGGGCCGACGGAAAATCTGAAGAAGGGCTCGGCCGACGAGCCATGTCTACTCGCACCTGAATTTTTCTGAACAAAATGTCCTCGCACTTTATGAAATAGCCGCGCCATTACAAACCAGTAACTTCATCAAAAATTCCAGCACCCCATAACTGACACATTATTATTAACGAATAACGACTTTGATCACAGACCTCATCGTGATACGATCAAGATTCGGAAGTATATCAATAAACAGCGACTCCATCAATCGTAATGCCTTGTAAAAAAACCCCGCTCTCCTCCGATTCAGACAACGGGGCGCTGAGGCGGCGGAGAATCGGAAATGGAAATGAACCCTACGCCTTTATCAGAAAACTTGCTCGAAAGTTCGCTAAAACAATAACAGACCATGCATCGGGAAGTGTGTGTGTTGTGGCGAGGTTGAATGACCTGATTGGCGAATCGGGTGTCATCAGCAATGTGGTTTGAGTTATGAGAGCTCGAAAGAAAAAAAATTTTTTTTTTGATCTCTGGAGTTCACAAATCATTATCACAATGAAGACGTCGTAAAATTTTTAAATATCAGTCTGTCGGGAAAATAATGAGCATTCTTTCGCATAGAAAATCATTTCCGCCGAAGAAATGAATTGTGCCGCGGCAAAATCAAATTTTTTCACTTCAGCGACCAGATTGATGCAGCTACATTGTTCTCATTAATTTCCCGACAGACTGAAAAGAGATCGTCAGGTCATCGTCAACGTGATCAGACACTGGGACTCCTATTAGCATTTTTATAAAGTGCTAATGATTTTTGCACTGTGAATATCGCTTTCTTAGCGCGAGGCGGTCCTTTACAAAAAATCTTGGCATTGTGCAATTCTCTTAAATTTCGTGGCGGCGCAGTGGAAAAAAGCTTGTGTCGCAGCGATTTTTTTTCTTTTTAATCATACAATTGACATTTTTTGTTGCACGACGAAAAATCCAGGCACTATATAGAAATGTTAATATGCTGCACGTCAAAGTGAGGAGTCCGGTGACCGGAATAGCCACTTCGCTATCGGTTTTTTACACTTCGTCTTGATTTCGCAGAGAAAGAGAGAAAAAAGACGTGCAAAAACGTACTCTCTCGCCCTAAAAATTCCCCATTTCTTCCTCGACAAAACGTTTTTTCGCGTCTTTTTTTTGCGAATTGCCAATCCATTCACCGGACTGTTTTAGCTTATCTCAGTTTGACGTGCGCTGTCCTAGACAAGCGAAGAGGAAGATATCAGTCTGTCGGGAAAATAACGGCGGATCGTCGCGCCTCCGAATCGCCCATCATCGCTTTGCGACTTCAAGCCGCGGCTGGGAATTTGGTTCGCGATAG